CACGCGTCGGTCGACGCGTCGGCTGACTCCGAGCTTCTCACTCTGTCTCTCTCGCACTTACGGAACGCCCCATGAGTGCGAGGGAGAGAGCAACAAAGCACTGTTCGGAATGAGGCCACTGCACGTCAAACTACGGCCTCCATGACCCTGCCTGGGGCCTTGCGGCCGCTTGCGGCTCGCCTTGCAGTGCCTTCTAGCGGCCAGGGCGCAAGCGTGCCCAGCAGGGTCCCGGACGCGGCCACGCGGCCACGCGCCTGCGCTCGGTGGCGTGCTGCGCCGCGCGGCTTGCATAGTCGATTCCTCGAATCGGCCACGCTGAGCGGCACGTCCGTGCGTTCGAGAGCCCGCGTGTCCATTTCTGTAGACTGACTCCGAAAGTCGTTTTCGTCTCTCTCGCACCTGTACGGAGCGCCCAATGAGTGCGAGAGAGACAGAGCGTCGAAAACGACTCTCTACAGGACACCGCACCGCTTTGACCACGCCGCCGAGGACGGCGGGGAGCAGCAGGAGACACGAACGGTCTCCGAGTCGCGGTCCGGAGCGCCTGCCGTGGCGGCGGGTAGGCAGGCCCGCCGACGAGCCCTGCGCGCGGACGGCCTGCCCTCCAGGCGCTCTCAGTGCAGGCCAGTGATTACGAACGCTCTGTCTCTCTCGCACCCCAAACGGCACGCTCCATGAGTGCAAGAGAGACAGAGCGTGGCTGCTCTGCCCGGAATTCGGAGTAAGTCCGCAGGCGGCGGCTGTATCTCTGGCCGGCGCGGTGCGGCGAGCGCGTTGGAGGGAACAGCCTTCGAGAGTAACAGTTTTATGTCTGCGGATGTGTCGCGCGGCGCGGAACTGGCGGAACTCCTTGTGAGGAGCGGCCAGCGGCAAGCGGCAGCACACAACTCTGGACAATCTCACACACACTCATGCGGCGTCTCGAAGGGGTGCGAGAGTGACAGAGTGGCGGCTGCACTGGCTCCCCTGGTTTTCTGGCCCACTGTGCGATCGGCAATTGGCGTCCACTCGGGATGCAAATGCAGCGACCGGCCGGAGCGCCCCGCCCTGGCGGCCTGGCCTGGCCTGCCTGGCCGTGCCCGAGGACGCGGCGCCGGGCGAAGGCGAAAATTGCAGCGTTCGTGGAGAAGGAGGAGCAGTGCCCCGCGGCGCTGAGGAGGTGGCCACCGCCTTCGCCCGTCGCACCTTCGTTCTCACGCTGCTTTTATTTTGCATCGACATTTTTCATAACCAAACAAAAAAAACTCCGCGGTGGTTGCGAACTTTTGCTTTTCTTCGGTTTCAACGACACTCGCGCCTCTCGTGATCCACTACCACCACCACCACCACCACCACGCTCCGCCCCGCCTCGCGACCTGACGACATCGCAGCAGGTGTCTCATTGAATTTCTGTCACGCGCCCATTGTGGGTACTCGCGGGGTACTCGCCCCGTCGCGGGGGTCATATCAAATCCTCACTCCTGAGGCTCCAGCAGCGCTGCGTGTGTGCCTGCGTGTGTGTGTGTGGGGGGGGGGGGCAGCCGCACGCGTCCTGAGTATTCCCTACGAAGAACCGCGTCCTCCCGTATAATTTCATTGACCATTGTCTATATCTGTGCGTGTGTGTGCGTGTGTTCTTGTTTACGGAGTCGTGCCGGCCTCACCGCGAGAGTAAAGTTTGCGTTTTTGACGCGACTGATCAATCAGCTATCGATCAGCTCGGCCGTACTTGAAGCCACGGGCAGGGCAGGGCAGGGCAGGGCAGGGCTGGGAGACATGAGGCGCACGGTCACTGCCCATACAAGGCGGCGGGGCGTACCCGGCGACCTCGGCACACAGACACCGCGCTCACACACACGTACGAAACGCACTGTAGCAACGGCGTCGCAGACACTCAACGACACACATGTCTTCGCGACTCATTTAGTATACTATATACACGTCCGTCCCCGCGAAGGGATATTCGGACGTACAAGGCGTGTTTACAAACCACACACACCGCACACAAAACACACACACACACACACACCAACACACACGCACTCAGAGGCGAGCCAGCGCGGACGCGTCGCCCAGTTAGGAAGGTAATTCGGGGCCCACTTGAGTTTTGTCAGTCATGTGAAAACGTTGCTCGATTAGGCCGTGTTGCGTGAGTGCAGCGCAGGGCGGCAGGGCATCGGGGCATCGCGGGGCCGTCGCGGGGCCGTCGCGGGGCCGGGGCCATCGTCATCGCGGACCCATAACGCGCTCCGCCGTCTAGCCGTCCATCATCAGGCTGAGTCCGAACGGCGCTCTGTCGCTCTCGCGCCTCCGCGGAACGCCGCACGAGAGCGAGAGAGACAGAGCGACGAAAGCGCTGCTCAGCCTGCGGGGCGCTCGTGGGCGGCCGCCGTAGACAGTTTGATCCATTTTACTTTAACCTGCCGTGATATGTTTATTATTCCAGACGGCGGATGGCGGGTCGTAGAGCGCGAGCGCGGATTAGGCCCATCGAGGATGTTGCTCTGTCCCTGTCGCGACCAGCGAACGGCGCGCTGGCAGCGAGTGGGGGCGATGAGCGCGCAGTGCTCGCGAGGACCGAGCCCGGGCTGGTGGCTAGCGGCGGGGTCTGCGGGTCTGGCTGGCGCTGCGGGCTGCGAGGCCTGGAGGACCCGGGAGACTGCTGGAGGCTGCCTGGGGGCTGGCTGGAGGCTCCCGGAGCTGGCTGGAGGCTGCTGGAGGCTGGTGGCTGCTGGAGCTGGCTGGGGCTGCTGGAGCTGGCTGGAGGCTGCCTGGACTGCTGAGCTGGCTGGAGGCTGGCTGGAGGCTGCTGGAGGCTGGCTGGAGGCTGCCTGGAGGCTGCCTGGAGGCTGGCTGGAGGCTGGCTGGAGGCTGGCTGGAGGCTGGCTGGAGGCTGCCTGGAGGCTGGCTGGAGGCTGGCTGGAGGCTGGCTGGAGGCTGCCTGGAGGCTGCCTGGAGACTGGCTGGAGGCTGGCTGGAGGCTAGCGGCGCCGGACCGGCAAAGCAGAGTACGTCGGCGAAGGCTGGCCGCGCCTCGCCTCGTCACGCGGCGACGGCAGCGGGGGCGTAGGCCGACGTGTCACCGCGGTGTCACCGAGACAAAAGGCTGCCAACGCCGGAGTGAGGCCGTCGTCGTCGCGGCCTCTCGCCGCGTCCTGCCGCGTCTTTCCTCTCGTGTTTTTGACGCTGGCGCATTCCTCTGACCGCAAACGTCATGCCGTTGCCGGCGTTGCCGGCCGCTCTCAGAGCGGGCAGCTTGCAGCCGTTTTCTCAGCTGGCTGCACCACCTTCTAGTGCCCCCTCCCCTCCCCGGTCCGCCGTCGTTGTCGTGTGGCTAGCTGCTGGCTCATCGTCGGCATCCTTCGTCGCCTTGTATGGAGACGGGTCCACTACGCCCCGCCGCCCTCCCGCTGCTCCGGCACCCACTGCAGACCCCCCCCCCCTCCTCCACGGTCCCCGAATCCCCGAGGCGACCAATACTCGCGCATCACCACGGCTTCCACGAAACGAGCATCGCTCGCGGAGGCTGGCTTCGTTTTTCCTGTTGTTTTCGCTAAAGCCAATAATTGCAAACAACAGTGGAGCGGCGTTCGCGGGCGCCGCCGCATTAAATTGATACCCCCGCTGTCCGACGACGCTCTCTTCCGACCATGAAGTCATTGGGCCAGCTTCAAAGGACTCATCAGCACCTCCCGACGAATCGGAATGGACCCCCGAGCTACCTCGGCGAGGGTTTCCTGCAGGAACGGAGCAGCGAACGGCCGTGAGTGGGCGCGGCGTGCGTGTGTTGGCGAACCGGGAACCGGCCGCGACTCCGCGACCCGGCGCGCCCCGGCTCGGCGTGGTCCTCGTTGGAGTCGCCTGTGCTGGCGGCGTCCGGCGCGTCCGCCCTGCCGGTCGGGCTAGGCTGGGCCAATGTCACGGAGTTGCCAATGTCGAGGACCGGGCCTTGTCCGCCACCATGAGCAACGCGAGGGCAACGAGAAAGCTACGCCGGGGGGGAGCCCATTTGTCGCGTTGCGAACGCGGACCTCCTGGGCTGCGGTTTGCGGGGGAGGGCCGGCCAGCGGGCCTCGCTTCGCCGGCCAGATAGTAGGCCTTCCGTACGGTAGGCGGGAGCTGAGAGCAGAATCCGGCAGAATCGCCCCTGAGCGACTTCTAGGGTGTGTATTGGAAAGCGGATTCACAGTATTCTTTGGGAACTCCCTCCTGTTTTCCTGGTCCGTCCCAAAAACTGACAGTAATGAGATTCCATGGCCACGGCCTTCGAAAACTGCACGGAAAGCAGAGAAGGCGCCGCCCGGCCTGCCCGTCGCGACGCCTGCCGGCCATAATCCTAGCCGTTTCGGCGCTTTGCCTTCGGTTCCGCGACGGTCCGCGAAGGTCCGCGACGGTCCCCGACGCCCTGCCCCGTATTAGGAGGCGGCCGCAGTCCTGGCCGCGCTCCGCCGGCGACGTTCCCAGACACTTGGCCGGCGAACTTGGCGCCCGAAACCCGAAACGCGGACTTTGCGCGATTTCGGCCCACCAGCTCGCCGTCGACTCGGCGTGGCCCGGCCCGTCGGGGCGTCGTCGTGTTCGGCGCGGCTTTTGTGATCGGATCTGCATATTAATTAATGGGCGCGAGTGACATTGCCTCGGCTGTGCCGGGAGCGAACTGTAGGCTGCGTTTCGTCACTCTGTCTCCCTCGCACCCACGGGACCTCGCGTAGAGAGACAGAGCGACGGAACACTGTTCGGAATCAGCCCACTGAGCAGCGCGTGGCCGCGTGTCCTCAGTCGCCTACGACGTCCACGTCGATTGAGACGCAGATTAACAGAATATGCAATTTTATGGGGGGCTATGCGTCGCCGGAAGTGCCGTTGGTGGTGCGGTCGTTGGCAGAAGTACACTGCAGGCGCGGTTCGCGCCGTGCGGACAGGCAACCCATCCACCACCAGCGCGCCCTGGTGGCCTCGCCGGGCGCTGCATGAAGTGAGACGGGACGAGACGCTTCAACGTTTTGCTTTCGCTGTTGCAGGTGGCGGGGCCAAACCGTAACCATGACGACGGAGGTGACGTCTGGCTCCGGAGGGGGCCAGGAGCTGCAGATTATCTCCAACGACGTGGGCGGGATCCAAGATGAAGACCTGCTGCGCAGAATGGTGAGTGAGGCGTCCTGGACTCTAGAGTGGTATGCCCCACGAGTTTACACCCCCTTTCTCGCTCTCTGGTTGCAGTGGCAGCAAACCGAAGACTTCGGCCGCAAGAAAGAGATTCGCGCCAGGATGTACAAACTGCGCGAGCAGCGCCTCAAAGACTTCTACACGACCGGCGAGGTGCTGCGGGACCTGCAGACGGTGACGGACGCCGACGGCCACGCGGAGCGGCACCACCAGTCACAGCAGATCATCTCCAAGAAGACGGCCTCCTCCTTCTCGTCGATGAAGGAGGGCGGCGAGATGATGCGTTCGCACACCGAGTCCATCCAGGGTCAGGGCGGCTACACGTCGCTCAAGTCGAAGGAGGTGCGCGACTCGGAGTCCCCGACCCGCGACCTGCACCGCCGCCAGCAGGACTACGCCCTGAGCACCTCCGCGACGACGGGCGGCACCGGCACCTGGAAGGTGGTCCGGGAGTCGTCCTCCGCGGCCTATGACTCGGCCAACGACCTGGGCGTGGTCACCACCAGCAGCAGGACCGAGAAGGGCGGCACCGTCGCCGTCCCGGCCGGCCAGGCCGCCCTGGTGGCGCCGTCTGGCATGCAGCTGGTGGACTCCGGCGAGACCGTGATCCACAACGCGGACGGCAGCATCACTCGCCGCCAGTCCGCCACGTACAAGACATCCAGCACCGCCACCAGCAGCAGCAGCCAGCAGCAGCAGCGCGCCGTCAGCTCGTCCACGACCTCCAGCTCCAAGGCCGTCACCACCACCAAGTCGTCGACGACGTCCAGCAGCGACCAGCCTGGAGTCGTCATCAAGGAGATCAGCTCCACCTCGTCCGCGGACCAGAAGACGAAGGGCGACGCGACGCAGAGGGTGTCCACCACCACGACGTCCAGCAGCGGCAGCCGAGTGGAGCAGCAGGCAGGCGTGGACCAGCGCATCATGACGGAGATCGGGAAGCTGGACTCGTACTTGTCCACGCAGAACGCGACTGGGTCCACCAACACCCCCGTGAGCCCGCGCAGCGTGTGTTCGGAAGCCCCCGGCGCGGCGCCAGCCGTGCAAGCCAAGAGCGAGTTCGTGTTCGAATCGAGTTCGTCCACCACGGCGACGTCCGCCGCCACCAAGGAGAGCAACAGACTGAGCAGCACCGCCACGACGGCTACCTCCACCGTGACAGCCACCACCGACCTGGACGCGACGCCGCAGCCAAAGTATGCCGCCGCGAACGGCGACGTGCAGAAGACGGCGACCACCGTCATCGAGCAGCGCACGACCACCACACTAGAAAGCGACAAACGAACGAACGACTCGACCAGCCAGCACCAGCGGCCCAGCAGCCAACCCAAGTCGCAGCCGCAGAGGCCGCGCACCGAGGTGGACGCGGACCAGTACGTGACAACTTACGCGTCCTCCTACAACAGCAAGCGCATCAGCGAGGACCTCAGCCCCACGCACCAGTACTTCGCGAGCGCGCTGCGCGCCAGCCCCGCGCCCAGCTCGGCACGCGCCACACCCACACGCGCCCTCGACTCCCGGGGCTCGGTGGACCGTGAGGCCACCACGTCGTCGCGGCCCTCTTCACGACCGTCGTCACCGAGGAAGAGCAGTCGGGGTGCGACGCCGGACAGTAACAGGGCGTCGCCGTGCAAAGACAAACCGCGAGGACCCTCTCCGACCAAGTCCGTCACGACCAGCTTCGACTCGTCGACCATCAGGCGCAGCAGCAGCACCAGCAAGGACAAGCGCCGCTTCACGTCCAGCGCGTCTCGCGCCGCCACGAAGAAGCGCTCCGGCACGCCCGGCGCCTCGCCCCGCGCGAGCCCCACCCGGGAGGGCACCAGGCCGCGGTCCAGGTCCCCCACGTCCAGCACGGCGGACGACAGCGACGCCTGCCTCTCGACCGCGGGTCGCCGCCGAAGCAACAGCAAGACGTCCGTGTCGTCGTCGGCCACCTGGACGCACGAACTCGCCCGCAAGTCGTCGTCGGAGACCCTCAAGGGGGGTTCCACGAGCAAGGAGACGTCGCCGGTGCGCGACGTGCCCTCCAAGCCGCAGCCCTCGGCGTCCTTCACGCCGTCCGCCCCGTACAAGCGGGAGAAGTCACCGGAGTACAGCTCCGACGGTTCGCTGGCCAGCGAACTGTTCCAGCGCGCGGAGCGCGGTGAGAAGAAGGACGCCACCAGCCCCGACCGCTTCACCCCCATCAAGTGCTTCCGGACCATTCCCGAGGGCGGCGTGCTCGAGCCCAAGAAGGACTCGGAGGTCGTGACCAAGCAGACGGAGACCGCCATGTTCATCCGCGAGGAAGCCCGCCGCACCGCGCCGACAGTGTCACCGTCGCGGACCTCACCGCCCCGACGCACACCCACCAGAGAGCCACAGTCGTCCAGCATCTCGCCTTGCACCAGCCCCGAACGCTCGCCGGTACGCCCCGCCACCGCCCCGCCCTCCAGGCCGGGAGCGGTAGCACAGCGGCCAGCGGGGCCTTCTGCAGCCCCAACCAGGGCATCCCCGCGTACACCTACTAGCAGCCCGGAGCGCTCGCCTATTCGCAAACCCGCGGCCGCGGCGCCAGCATCGCCGTCAAAGAAGCCGACGAGGGTGACCAGCATCCCCAGGGCGGCGGGCCAGCGGACCCATCCTGTCGGCAAGCCCACGCAGCGGCCGCGCGACGCGTCCGCGCCCGTCACGCCCTCCAGGAAGGTGCCCGGCCAGAGGCGGTCGTCGTCGTCCAGCCCGGAGCGGCCCAGGTCCACGGCAGGGCGGCCCGCGGGGAAGCGCCCCGTAGACACGCGCACGCCGTCGACATCCTCCCTGCCCGCCACCAAGAGGCCCTTCGCAGACAAGACCAACGTGCGCACTCCGAACGTGCGCGTCCCTGCACCGAGCCCCAGTCCCGCCAGGCCCGCCGCCAAGCCGGCTCAGCCCTTGCCGTCCAAGTCGGCCTTCGTGAGGACAACCCCGCGACCAGAGGACGCCGACAAGGACAAGCCCAGAGGCCACACGAGGACACCGTCGTCGCACCGGCTGTACGGCGGCATGTCCCAGGAGGTGTGCGGCGCCTGCCACCTCAAGCTGGGCGCCGAGAAGGACACCGTCCAGTGCACGGCGGAGTGCAAGCGCAAGTTCCACGTGCGATGCGTGGCGAGCGGTGAGGACATCAAGCTGGTCAAGCTCAAGAAGAACTGGCGTTGCGTGCGCTGCGGTGGAGACTCCATCAAGACGACCTCCAGCACAACAAAGAAGACGACCACCATAACTAAGACGTTGACCAGACGGCGGTCGTCTGACGGGAGTCGCAAGCGCGTCCCCTTTCTCGCCGACTCGGGCGCAGAGAGTGACCGCTCGTCCGCGGCCAGCCCGCCTCTGCGGCCCAGCGGCGTGGCCCTGACGGACATCAAGACCACCACCACGTCCAACAAGAGGGAGTCCAAGGACCGCATCGACCTGAGCGCACTGTGCGGCGTGGTCAAGGACAAGACCATCTCCACGGGCGACTACTACAGTGACCTGGAGAACGAAGCGCCCCCTGAAGAGTTTCTTGTCGACGATGACGATGACGACATCGACCTGACGTCCACCACCAAGCAGACGACGAAGACGAGCAGCAAGCGTGAGCAGAACGAGGCGTTCCTGGAGGGCGAGCGGCGCGGGACGAGGCAGGAGTCCCGACTGGACAGCCTGACGCGCACCAACAGCGACAGGAACGTCGTCAAGAAGCAGCCCGCCCCCACGCCCAAGCGGCAGTCCTCGAAGCCTGAGCTGGTCACGGGCACCACGACGACGACCACCAGCACGAGCACGTCCAGGATCTACGGTGGCACCGTGCTTGAGGTGTGCGGCGCCTGCCACCTGAAGCTGGGCGCCGAGAAGGATACCGTCCAGTGCACGGCGGAGTGCAAGCGCAAGTTCCACGTGCGCTGCGTGGCGAGCGGTGAGGAGATCAAGCTGATCAAGCTCAAGAAGAACTGGCGCTGCGTGCGTTGTGGAGGCACCACAGAGCAGACCAAGAAGACCGTCGAGAAGGACAATTCTCGCAGCAAGCTCACCGTCAAGGTGGACAAGGTGTCGGGGAAGCAGAACGCCACCAGCGAAAGGCGTGGCAGCAGCAGCACGACCACCACGACGGTGACGTCCTCCACCAACCAGACCTCCATGACCAACGGGCACCACCGGCGCGAGGAGTCATTCACTTCGGGCGACGAGACAGACGTGCCGAACGCGGACCAGACGGACACCCCCACCGGCGTGGACGCCTACATGTGGGAGCTGGAGGACATGCGTCGCCGGCAAGAGGAGCAGTACGCGCGCAAGGTAAGGATAGAACAGGAACCCAAAAGGAAGCCAACTCGAGATAAACCGTGTACGTCCAGTTCGTAACCAGTAAAATAATCATCATAATAGTCACAATCATAGGAGACTCAATCGCCTTTTGACTATTTTTGCGAGGCTCCTGCTTCCAAACTAGCTGCGGTCAAAGCCTTGCCGAGGCAGGGCATGAAAGAGTGGCGCCTTAAGAATACTAGGCGTTGAGGGAGGCCTTTGACCGCAGCTAAACTGGACGCAGTGGTCACCCAAAGTTAGCAAAAACTCTCACCTCTCTCCTCTCACACCAAAAACATCAAAAAATCCCTAATAATGAACATCATTTAAAACCTCCTGTAACCTGTGTTATTCATAATTATTAAATAACCAAAAGTATTCACGTCTTATCAATATAGTATTCTCGATTATTTCAATCATTCAGTAGTACATGATAAACTTGAACTTGAGTTGGTTACCCGTTAGGGTGGAATCTCGCTACCCAACACAACTCACCCAGAATGCCGTTGCAGGTGACGGACAAGGAGAACGTGCTCCTCAACGCCACCATTCACGTGCAGCTGCCCAAGTCCTCGCGGGAGTCCTCTCCGGACGGGCGGCCCGGCGGGCGCGCCCCCTCCGTGTGCACGGCCGGTGATGAGTCGGACAGCAGCCGGCCGCGCTACGCGGACCGCGTCAGCGAGCCGGGGTCGGACGAGGAGGGCCCCGGGCCGCGGCAGGGCTCCGTCAACAAGCTGCCCCAGCTGGACGAGCGCAGGTCCAGCGAGCAGCGGGAACTGGAGAACAACGAGGACGACGAGAACGACGTGGCGAACCTCAGTGTGTCGGACAAGGTAAAGCGGCGTGGCGGGGAAAGTCCCATTTCTCTACAGTGTTGCCTTTACGACCTTTGGCGGTAATGCATAAATTGTTCCGACAGGTGAATCGCTTCATGGAGAGCTCCCGCACGCTGTCCATCTCGGAGCTGAAGACGCCGCACCGGCCGGCCCCGGCCACCGACAGCCCCGGCAACGTGAGCAAGGCGAAGGCCATGTTCGAGACCATCGCCAGCGGCCAGACCGTCACGGAGAAGCTCGAGACGCAGGAGGAGCACGAGTCGCAGCAGAGCGCGGACGCCACGACCAGGCAGAGGGACGTGCTGAGCCGCCCGTCGATCTTCGAGGGCCGCAAGGTGCTGACGGAGACCACGGTGGAGACCACCACCACCACGGCCACCGCGCCAGTGCTGCCGCCAGGCGTCACCATCGCCAAGGACACGATCCCTAGGAAGCGCTCCCCGTCCCCCGAGCCACCTAGCTTCGCCCTTACCTTCAGCCCGAAGCCCGTCGCCGAGCCACAGCCCTCGGCTCCGCAGCCCGCACGCCTCAACGGCCACACGACACCCGTGCGTCAGGACTCGCTGCCGAAGGACATCAAGACCGCCCCGAAGAAGCCAGACGCCAGCAGCCCCGCCCGCAGAGACTCTGTGCGCAGGGAGCTCTTCCCCGACACCAGCAAGAAGACGACCTCCACGACCAAGACGGCGACGTCCTTCTTAGACGGCGAGCGCCGCAGCTCCCTGCAGCAGCGGACGGACACGAGCTCTACCATCAAAACGACATCGTCGACCTCGTCCTCACGCACCGCGTCCCCTGTCAAGGACGTCGCGAGCAAGGCGTCGTCGCCAACCCGGTCCCCGGCCAGGTCACCGTCGCCGCAGCGCAGCCAGCCCAAGCAGATCGACATCCTGAGCAGACCGTCCATTTTCCAAGGCCGTAAGATGATGGCCGCGGCCAAGGATTCTACAACCTCCACGACCACCACCACGTCTAGCACGGCGACGACCCTCCCGGAGCAGCCCAAGAGCCCCACCAGGCCGAAGGCCTCCTCGCTGGACCGGCCCACGGAGAGCAGCCTGGCGCGCGGCACCAAGTTCGGCGTGCACCTCCGCAGCACCGCGACCACGGCCTCCACCGCGTCCACCACGACCAAGGCGGCGGAGCAACGCCGGGGCAGCGCCGTCTTCCTGGACGGCCAAGAGGTGGACATCGAGGAGGTGTACGACCTCGAGTTCCTCGAGACCATCGTGAGTACCACCGGGGCAGCCCGCAGGATGGTTCCGGACAGTGCATCTTCGCCATGTCTCCCTCGCACCGACGGGACGTCGCATGAGTGCGAGAGAGACCGCGCGACGAAGCCTCATGGCGTCCCCGCCTCGGGATCACGCCCCTGAGCCTCGGAATAAATGAGTTGTTAATGCAGCCTCGGCCGATCCGGTCCAATTAAGCCGGCCGGGTCGCACGCCTCGCCTCGCCACGCCTCGCCGTGCTTGCATAATGCCAACGCGGTGGGTGAGCGTGAGCCGCGCGGACGTCGCGGCACGTCGCGGCGTGACCCGACATCCTAATGAGAATGAGAGGCCCAGGCCCCGAGTGTCCCGAGCAGCGAGCAAAGAGTCGCCAAAATAGAACAGAGCAGACATGCTTTCCGTCAATAGTTGGGTCCAGCGCGCCAGGGCGCAGCTGCAGGGCAAGAGCGCCGTGTGGGTAGGCAGCCCAACCAACTCTCTCGCTGCCGGTGGAAGACCACCGTTTTCCCGCCATTTCTCCCACAGGCAGGTCGCAGCAGGCCCCCCTCTCACTGCCTGTCTGGACAAGCCGGTGACGAGTGTTTTTGTCCCGTACCGATTTTGAGCTTGGTGTTTGTTTCGTTTGGTCTTTATGGTTTATCGTGACTATGATTTAAGTTTGGAATGGTATAAATCTGCCTTGAACTTCATGTGAGCGAGTTGAGTAGTGCAGTTTATGGGCTCTTACGCACAGTACAGGTAATCTAGTTTATAGGTTAGGGTTTTTATATCGGCCGTTGCTCAGCTCATGTTTGAATGTGAAACATCATAGATTTCAATAATAACAATCATTTGCCCGATTGGAAATATAGCATTTTGGCTGCATTCAGAACCCTGTCTGTTCACAAATTACATTATATGGAGTAGGTGAAAGGGGCTGAAAAGATGATGCGTTATCCATTATTCATTAGGTTTGGGTGTGTGTATTGTCTAAAATATAGGCCAATGCAACAAACATGAAAAGATAGTGAAATACTTTTGACAGTTGTGTCACTCTGGTAACCTTGTGATTTTGTCATTGACTAAGAATTTTGGTCAAATCTTTCCGGCTACGTACTCAAGGATAGACTCATTGTTGGTATTCTTTTGATTAGTGGGTGTTATTAGTAGATAGTATGTGACTGCAATCTCTGATAAGTAAATTTAATTTGACAAAATTTTGCAAAACTAGAAAATGGTATTGTGTGTAGAACAGCGAGAAGCTCATGCCTGAAAGAGACGCATGTTGAAAGTTCAGCCTTGAACTTTGTACTTTTTGAACCTTTTCTAAGAAGCTGTCCGTGTGTTGTGTCTAGTTGGAGCGAGTAGTGGGCTACGAGCAGCGCCGCCGCATCCGCACCCAAATTCGCAAGGCCAAGGAGCGGCTGGAGGGAACCGTGCAGGCGGAGCAGGTCCTGAGCAAGGACAAGCAGGTGAAGCAGGACGGCCGCACCACGTCCACCACGACGACCACCTCCAGCAAGTCGGGCAACACGGTCACGGAGAAGGTGACGACCACCACCACGACCAAGTCACCCACCAGCAAGGTCGTCACCACCCGGGTCACCACCACGTCCAGCACGACCAGCGGCACCAGGTCGCCGACCAAGGGTCTTTCCTCGACTTCGCCGACGCGGTCCTCCCCGTCACGGTCGTCCCCGGAACGGTCTCCGAGCCGCTCCCCTGAACGGTCCTCCACTAGAAAGGTACATCGACGGACTGACGACTCATGTTTGTAATTCAAGGCAAGGGCGGATCCAGGGAATGGTTCTGGGGGAAGTTTGCCCTCTTACGGGGGCAAAGTGCGACGTTTTGCCTTCCTTTCAGGGTATTCCCTCCCCTCTGGATCCGCGTCTGTCCAAGGGAGGTTCTCTTTAGTCAGCATATCCTTGCTCTGCACTCTGCAGTCTTCCACGTCGTCGACGTCCAAGGCCAGAGACACGACCGACTTCCGCCGCTCGTCCACGTCGTCTACCACCACCACCAGCATGACGACCAAGACGAGCTCCAGCAGCAGCGCCGGCCGCACCAAGTCGCCGGCCTCGACGCCCGGTGAGTCCCTTCTCCCCTTCCGTGGACAGGACAGGCCTCCGCCACCGACCGCAGCGCCGCAGCGAGGCAGAGCGTGGCGTGGCGCGGCCGGGACCGTCCCGTGGAGGCGGCGCTAGTGTCGCCAGATTGCACCAGGCTGTCATCTCCGCCGAGGAGGTGTCCCGCGTCGCGCGTCGCGGACTCGGAGCATGACGCCTCCCACCGCGCCGACCGCGCCGCCCCACCCCACCGTCGCGGTCATCCCCACGGCCCGCGCGGCTTGGCGACGCGTCGCGACCAAACGTCACGGCCCGGCCGGCCAGGGACGCCACCCCACCCCATCCTCTAGGCTCCGCACCGCACTGGAGGTGCAACGCGGGCCGCGCAGAGGGTGGTCGCCACGTAGCGCCGCGAGGGGTGACTTTTGTGGCACACTGTACCGTCGCACCATGGTCGCACCGCACCGCTGCCGCGCCGCCCGGCGCATCGAGTTTCGAGTTACGCCCCTGCATGTCCCCAGCGTTCACCGCAGGTGTGCATACCTGCACATTCGAGGCCCCCTACTATGGAAGCAGCGAGTGTGTGTGAGGTTGAGGGGAAAAGGGGGGGGGGGCGTCCGATCGGATTGAGGATGGGATTGGGCGAAGTGGTCGGGCCGGTCGTGCCCAAGACGAGAGGACGTGCCGGTGTCCCAGCGAAACCCACGCAGCTCGTGCGGCGCGCGGCCCCAGAGGAAGAACGCGTCGGGGCTTTTTGGTCGGCTTGGCTTGGCTCTACGGGTGGGGTTGTAGGCTGGAATGGGTCCATCGCGGTATCCATGAGGCTGGGCGGCACGCCACGGCACGCCATCAAGGCGCCGTGTCCATGCCGTCTTAAGCCCATCGTCCCTCCTCTCTCTTTACGACCCGACCTGACTCACGCTCACCTACACCTTTCCCCTCTCCCCTCTCTCTCCGGCCTAGGACCACACAGCGCAGCTCATAACCCCCGTGCGGGGAAGCGGGGAGGGGCACGGTTAGAGCCGCCGAGTCATAGGGGCTTTACATGCAGTATCTCCCGACTGTCACGACTATCCAATGCAACGGTGCCACACCGGAGTCCTAACTGTACTGAGAGCCTCCCCGTGTCTCCTCCGTGACCCGCCGAACCGAGCTGTCCGTTTTCTGTATTTTGTCTTGTTACACGAGCCAGGGTCGCGCGGCAGACAATGTAGGTGTGAAATGCAAGAAAATTGTGTAGGCTGGCGATGTATGAATGTGGCCAATGTGGCCTCACTCGTTGTCGCGCGTTGTCCCCGCACCGCCTCAAGCACGTATTACAGGACAAACACTGGCAACCTGCTGCCCGCCCCCTTTCCCCTCCCCCCTCCCCTCCGCCTCGGCCGATGAGGCGGCCGCCGCACCAGGCCCCTCGGCCCCTCTGTCCCCCACCGCTCCCTCGAGCCGGCGAGGGCCCCAGCCAGCCGGCGAGTCAAGCCGGTACTCAGTGGGTTCGGTTCAGTTTGCTGCGCGCCGGTCAGGTGTAGGGACGCCCCGTCCAGCCAGGCCACGCCGGACCGCAGTGTGATTGACGTCGGCGTCGCGACGCTTCAGACGCCGCCGACGCCGCGGTTTTCCGTTGTCCGCCACCCGCGCGCCGCCAACAGTAGTGTCGAGTGCGTCTTGAAGAGGGAACGGCCCGCCGTGCTCCGCCATGGCGACGGCCGTCAAGACGGCGCACCGGCCTTCCCCGATGATCGGTAAGCGCTTTGTGCTGCAGGCCGTGCAGCGCGAGGAAAGTGACGCCGCCGCCGTGGACGCCGTCTGCCGCCGCTGCCGGCCATCGAGGCATTCGCGGAATCCGAAACGGCGAGCCCCTCTTGTCTGCAGTAAGGAGCTGCAGTCTGGCCGCGCTCGCCGCGCCGCGCCGCATGGGCGTGGTGCAGTGGTGGCTTGCCTCTCGACTTCGACGGCGTCCTTTTGCTCTTGTTGCGTCGCTGGGCCGTGCAGTGCCGTCGCCGCCTGTTTTTTGTGTCTCGGCCGTCCGTCGCGCTCCGGACTCGAAGGCGGGGCCGTCGGGGGGCGCGGTGGGGCGTATACCTGTCCGAGAGACGCTCCGCCGGACGGACGCGGCGACGCGGCGCTGACGGCCAGAGTCTCGTTACCCGGTCTGATCCGGCCACGGTGATTCATTTTCCCACGCAGCGGTCTCTGTTCCTGTTCCCCGGGCCCAGCGCGGCGCGGTTGACGGCGCCCTCGGAATGTGGCGGCTTTTCTCCAGTTCCCCGAAGCGGGTGGACGACGCAGTGCTCCGTCTGACTGTGTGCCTGGGCCCGCGGGGCCTGCCGGCCTGCCTCCAGGCGTACCCACGGAGGACTCGGACGCCGCGAGACAGGTTGGTTGGCTCCTCGCCCCCGCCCCACCACGCCCCGCCACGCCCCGCCACGCCCCGCGCTGTCCGAACACAGACAGGGACACTCTCGGTTGGGCAGCCAACGCCGCTGGCCGGGCGGCGGCAGACGCACTTGCGTTCCGGGAATGCCTCCGGGCGCGGCCGGCGCGGCATACGGCGGCCGGGGATGCTGTGGCCGTTGATGGGGCTGGGCAGGATCCGGCGTGAGTCACCTGCAACACGGTGGACGCGGGGTGAATGGCTGTGGCACCGTACCGCCGACAAGCCGCCGGGGCCTGCCGGCTGCCGGCCTGCCCCTTGTGTTTCCTCGGAATTCCCCGGGACAGCCGCCCCACCAGCCCCGTCCCCGCCGTCCCCGCCCCCGTTCCCTCGCCGTGCCTTGTCGCTGGCCCCCGATTCAGTGCAGGGCGGTGCAGGAAACAATGCGGCACCTGGCCTGGTTGGGCGCGTTGACCTGGTATCTGCCCCTACTGGTCTTGTTGCTCCAAACTGTATACATTGTTCACAGTATATACTGCAGTTCCCCATTCAATTTCAAAAGGCCAAATTTTGACATTCAAAACGGAGCAAACTTACCCATGGATTGTCAGTGTAGTACTGCAGCGGCGTTCCCAGGCGCTGTTGTTGGTTGCCATAAAGCGTTTGGCGGCGCGTAGGTACAAGAAGGCCCCGACGCTGGTGGTGGGGCGGCCTGGCGCGAGGGGGCAGCTGGACCGGACACCGTGCCGCCCTCGCCTACGTGTCTGTTTGTTTCCGCGTCGGAATTTTGCATATTTTTTTCTCGGTCCGGTCGCGCTGCGCGCTGCAGTCGGTGACCATGCCGGCTCGGTGCATGCCCGGGGGCGGGGCTGGCTGCTGGCTGGGCTCTATCTCTCTTGCATCCACGGATTGCCCCATGAGTGAGACAGAGACCGAGCGACGAAAACGCCTTTCGGCGGGGCGTGCTCGCGTTGTCGTCGCTGCCATGCTGCTCGGCCCGGAATATCGTCCGGAAATTCCAAATAATCGCGGTCACGCTGCACTGGCCTACACTGGCAGGCGCCACGCCGCGCCGACCCGACTGGTTTTCGCGGTAGCGCGCGCCGCGCTCCAAACATTGTGGCGGTGCGTTGAACCCTCCAGGCCGCCAAGCCGCCCCTCTCGGCCCCTCTGCAGCGGGCGGTGCGCGGGCGGGACGCGGGCGGGGCGTGCTCCGCCGTGCTCTGCGCGGGCGTGGTCGCCGCGGAAGGTCGCCGCGGAAGCGCACGCCTTTTCCACGCGCGCCTTTCTTCCCTTGGACTACCCTTCGGACTGCCCTTTGGACTTACTTCCCTTTGGACTTACTTCCCTTTGGACTTACTTCCCTTTGGACTTACTTCCCTTTAGACTTACTTCCCTTTGGACTTCCCTTTGGACTTACTTCCCTTTGGACTTCCCTTTGGACTTACTTCCCTTTGGACTTCCCTTCGGACTTCCCTTTGGACTTCCCTTTGGACTTACTTCCCTTTGGACTTACTTCCCTTTGGACTTCCCTTCGGACTTCCCTTTGGACTTTCCTTGGGCTTCCAGCAGCCGGAACCTCACTTCACATACTGTAGGCGCGGTGCACCTTCCCAGCTATGCGCAATGCTGATTTGAATTTGGCGCGTGAGTCCCGGACGGACCGACGGCGCTATCGCGACCGTGCGGTCAGCAGCAAGCTGTCTCTCTTGTACCCGCGGTGAACGCCACGCGAGTGCGAGAGAGAGAGGGACAGCGACGAGAGCGCTGTTCGGGATCGCCACCTCGCAGATGCTGGAAGGCGATGGCCGACTTGTAGGCGGTGGGACGCCGTTTCCGCTCAATAGCCTGATTTCGCACAGTGCCTCGTCGCTCTGTCTCTCTCGCGTCCCTGCGAGCTTCCGCGAGCGCGAGAGAGACAGAGCGACGAAAGCGCTGTGGGGAACGCTGTGGCGGGCCCGAGGGCGGGCCGGCCGTTTAGTACGGGGGCATTAGCGGGGCGCCAAAGTGAATGACGCCGCCGCCTTGCTTGGGTCGGGTCTGCTTGGGCTGGTCGAGCCGCGCGGCGTTTGTCGTTCCGTCTCGCTCGAGGGACGACGACGATGGATGGTGTGGCCATTTCATTTCCCGAGAAGCAGCAAGCAGTGCTGAGTGCAAGCATGCCGAGGGACGGCCGGCCGGGAGGGGGAAGTCCACATGCCGCGCTCGCCCGCGGCTCCGCGGCCACATGATGTGCGCTGTGCCTCGCGGCCCTCGCGGCGCGCTGCAGATGGACAAGCCAGACGGCAGATGGAGACGGACTGGCGTCGCCCAGCGTCGCCGAGTCGAGAGGTACGCGATGTCGCGGACTGCAGGACTTGACTTACATGGAAGCGCAGCTCTTTTTCGCGCGGCTGCAGTTTGCTTCTTGCACCCTGCCTGCGTCACGCATGCGTCACGCCTGCATCGTCGTGTTGCTACGCCACTGTAGTGAGTCAAGTCGCCGCTTTTGAGGCGAGGCGTCGCGACGCCTGCGCCGCTCGTTCCAGACCAATAGCCGCAGAGAAGGAACGCCTGCCGCGCCAAATCTGGAAGCAAAAACGCCCATGGCCACGCGTCGTCGTCGTCTCTCCCTCTCTCCTCGTCTCGAGCGCGTGAGTGTGATGAGTGTG